GGACAATTTCATTTCCATGGCTTGCTGAAGGCTAGACCAAAATCGAGAAGTGAACCTGGAGTCCATGTGGGATACTACCGTCACTTGCATTCCATATAATTTGATTATTTTTCAGATATACATTATTGCCAACTTCTCCAAGGGATCAGTCATCCTGATGGCCAAGAAGTGGGAAGACTTGGTAAGCCGATCAACTATTACCCATATGACATCATGTCCTGAGCGTGCCTTAGGCAATCCTATGACAAAATCCATAGTGATATGTTTCCACTTCCACTTCGGAATTGGTAATGGCTGAAGTAGCCCACCTGGGCGTTGATGCTCTACCTTGACCTGCTGACATACCAAATACTTAGAAACAAAGTCAGTTATATCTCTTTTCATCTCGTTCTACTAAAATCGAGGTCGCATACTTTGGTACATGTTAGTGTTTCTGGGATGCATGACAAACTTTGAGATATGACCATCTGTCATAATGTCCCATTTTTAACTCACTGTCATCTAGAACACACACTCTGTCCTGAAATCTGAGCAACCCATCAGTAGAGACTCGAAATTCTGAGTTAACTCCTTGTTCTGCATCTTTCTTGAGGACTACTTGGGTGGAATCAGCGGACTGAACTTTTCTTATTCTCTAGATTAACTCAAGCTGAACAGTCAGGTGGTCCAAACATGTGACTCTCTTCAGGTCCTGAAACCGTACATGTTGTGTAGCCCCCTATCTGCCTGCATTCTGAAACTATCAAATGGGCTAATATACCTAAATTTTTCCTGTTGAGTGCGTCGGCTACCACGTTGCCCTTATCCGGGTGATACATGATGTCACAATCATAATCTTTGAGGAGTTCTATCCACCTTCTATGATGCATGTTGAGATCTTTTTGAGTGAATATGTGTTTCAAACTCTTATGATCGATATAAATCTAAAAGCTTTCTCCATACAAATAATGGTGCTAAGTCTTTAAGGCGTGGATAATTGTGATAAGTTCTAAGTCATGGGTGATGTAGTTTTTCTCATGACTCTTCAACTGTTTTACCCATAAGCTATGACCTTCCCATACTGCATCAAAACATAACCCAAACCTAGGTAGGAGGCATCATTGTAAACTGTATATCCACCCCATCCACTCAGCAATGTTAACACAGGCGCAATAGTTAGCCACTTATTTAGTTCTGAAAAATTTCTTTCACAGTCATCGTTCCATTCAAACTTGACATTCTTCTTTGTGAGCCGAGTTAGAGGAGCAGTTAGACTAAAAAACCCTTTCACAAACCTGTGGTAATACCCTGTCATCCCTAGAAAGCTACAAATCTGCTTAACCGATGTCAATTTTTTCCAACCGAGCACTGCTTCAATTTTTTTGGGGTTCACTAACACTCCATCCTTTGATATGATGTGTCTTAGGAAGGTAGCACGCTCAAGTCAGAACTCACACTTACTCAACTTTACATACAGCTCCTTCTCTCTGAGAACCTGCAAAATTTGAGTTAGGTGGT